CCCCTGAACGGGGCCCCCCCCCCCCCCAAAGACAAGCCCCACAATAGGCCCCAACAGGTTTGGTTTTGGTTTTGGCGGGCTCCTGTAGCGCGGCACCTATCAGTCCTATGATTATCAAAAATTGCAAGCTGTTTGCAGGACACCTTTGGCTCATGTAATCTGCACCACGAGACAACTCTACTTGTCTCAGATCCAAAAGCCGCTAGCACCCGTAAACATACCCAGCTTTTGTAGCACCATCTTCCGTAAGGACACACCTGCACATGGACAAAAACCTGGAACCCTCTATCCCAACTATTGGTACAAAGCGGCCCAGGAAGGTCCCGAACCCTAAAACGAATATTGCCCTTGGAGGTACTGTGCGTACACCTCGTCTCTCCTGGGACCCTCAACATGAAGTCCACATGGTAGTTTCCAGACATATAAACTCCAAAAAACTATAATCCTTACTGTAGGGACACCTCAAAAACTACACATAGTTTCGGGAAACCCTAACCCCTGTAAACCACTGTCTGATTACCTCTTACAATTCCCATTTCATATTCATGGATTCTCCATCATAGGATCAATATCCCTGTCTTTCCCCTATGTAATCCCTTTAATCAGTAGCTTCCATGTCATGTTGCATTTTCTTCTCCATGTGATTCTCCCTCATTGAGGTGATTTCTCTGTATAGCCCCTATACAATCCCCATAACTAGGAGCTTCCATGTCATTTTCCATGTGTTTTTCCGTGTGATTCTCCATTATTGGGGCAATATCCCTAAACCCTAAACCCTCTAAACCCTCAACCCCTACCCAAACCCTAAACCCTCTAAACCCTAAACCCTAAAGCCCTAAGCCCTTAACCCCAAACATTCCGCCTTTCGAAGCCGGCTCGCGCTGCCGACCTGTGTCCTGCAGGGATGATCCAAGTGAAGGCATGAATCCCCACCCCCTCCTAGGTTTTAGGTTTTAGAGTTTAGGGGGTTTAGGGTTTAGGGGGCCTCCTATCAAGTATTCCCACTGTGGTTCAGAGTTTAGGGGTATATTCTGATATATTGAGAATTCATAATCTTAAGGGGGCAGAAGGTTTAATTTTAGGGAGAGAGGGTTCTTCGGACATTATGTAGGGCGCTCTGCGGGAAGACCTAACTGTTGATGGACATTTATAGGGAACGCACATGGGCCTACTCCATGCAGTGTACTGTCCAACGGTGTCCGCCAAAGCGATGCTTTCTTTTGGAAGGACCCCGACATGGGAGCCCCCAACTCCCGAAAAAAATCGTAGCGGTTTAGGGCTATAATCCCCTTAAGTAGATAGATTATGGGGTATATGGGGATCTTATTACTATAATACACCCCAAGCCATATTCTACCTACTTATGGGGGACTATAGACCATTTCTGAAAGGTTGGAGGGTGAGGTGCTTGTACAATTGCCGAGACTGCCAACAACTCCAGCCCCAGGTTCCAGGGCATACCCCCGGTTTAGGGTTTAGGCTTAAGGTTTAGGGTTTAGGGTTTGGGGTTTGGGGCTATAGTCCCCCTTGAGTAGATAGAATATGTATGGCTTTGGTATAGTATAATAAGATCCCCACATAGCCCATATTCTATCTACTTAAGGTGGACTATACCCTGAAACATCCTAAAACTCTCCGCCAAGGTTAGGAGTACTACAAACTTGGTTAGAAGTTAGAGTTTAGGGGTTAGGGTTTATAACTCTATGTAGGTATCCTACCCATGGCTTCAGGTAATCCCCGTCCCTGCCATCAAAATCCCCCCAACCAAGATTAGACAATTAGATATTCCATCGCGCTGCACTGTAACATGGCGGGAATATCTGGCAGCGAGGAACGGCGCTTGATCTCAAATCCTGTTTGTCCAGCCAACATTTAGGGGTTGTCCAGTATTCCTTCATCTCGAATTGGGGCTTGCGCCGTGCTTGCGCGGAGCTTGCGCGCGCCCAGTTTGGCTCACAATGGTTTTCGCCCAGGCTCATCAGACCAAAACTAATAGCATGTGCGTTTTCGAACCCCTGCGCCAACCTTGCGCTGTGCTTGCGCGGAGCTTGCAAGCGCAGGGCTGTTGACAAATTATGTTATACTTGGTTTGCTTTGAAATAAAATGCAAACAAGGATTTTCGGACAACCCTCATTTGAAAGCATCGTGCAAGTATTGTGTACATATATATAGATATATATTTGTATGCATGAGTGTACATATGTGTATGTGTATATGTACTTATACGTCATGTATGCATATGTTCCCATAAGTCAATAAGTATACCCCAACATGGCCGTAATGTGGGTTCCCTGTTTTGTTAGGATCCCCTTTTAAAGAAATGTATTCCCAATTGTCCCTTCTTTACAAGGACCTTTAGAACAACCGCCATATCCCCCCAAACCCTAAATCCTAACCCCTAAACCCTAAATCCTAAATCCTAAGCCCTAAATTCAAGGCCCACATACACCCAACGCTGACGCCAACCTCTGCCAAGGCAGGTGCAGCAGCCGGCTCCCTGCGAAACCGAAGCTCCAGAGGCTGCTGTTGCCGACAAATCTCCTGGGCCAGTTCTGTGGTTTCGGGTGTAGAGTTTCGGGTTTAGGGTCTGGAGTTTAGGGTTTAGAGTTTAGGGTCTAGAGTTTAGGGTTTAGGGCTCAGAGTTTAGTGTTTAGGGCTCAGAGTTTAGGGTTAAGGGTCTAGAGTTTAGGATTTAGGGCTCAGAGTTTAGGGTTTAGGGACGACATAGGGATTATGTTCCACTAATCCCGACTTACCACCAGTAAGTCTAGCTGCAGTGCAGGCAGCGGATCCTCTGTATATGCTCTCAGTCAGTGGGAGACAAATGGTGCCCTTCCCTACGAACTACGAGCAGGTAGAGCTTTGAGACATTACCTCCGACGGCCTTATCAATGACTTATCAGAGCGCGGGATTACAGTCTCTGAGGAGGGCACCGAAGCGAAGGGGTTGGTGAATATGATATTTGTATATATATATATATGGGTGGTTGTCAAAACTATGGTCCTGTTTTGGGTACCCTAAATATTAGGGGCCGTATTATAATAGGGACCCAAAAAGGGACCATAATTTTGACAGCCACCCATATATATTCATATCGGCCTAATGGAAAAGAAGATGGAAGCTAATTACTATTTAGGGTTCACAGTTCAGGGAAAAGGATTGAAGTGATACAGCTCGCCAGCTCAAAATCCTTGCCTACAACTTGGAGCTCAACTGCTTCTGGCTAGGGCTAATAAATGACTATGCACCTGCTCGCAGTAGCAAGCCGACTTGGGATCCCGCTTGCAAGGGTATATAGCGGATATATGAGCCATAGCCTCCAGAATACTCCCCTATATAATCCCGTATATAACAGCCCTGTAAGGAGTTTAGACTATAGCTCATGTAAGGCTTGCAGGAGGCACATAAAGGCTTAGGGGGTTTGGGACTTTGGGGATATTACCCCAAGTGCAGACTGGGATTATCAAGTGGTTGCAGGGGATTAAGATTTTCCAAAAATCAATGGTCCCTTTTTTTGTGGGGTGCCCATGATGAGGATAATCGTATATTTGAATGCATATTGGGACCCTTGTTTTGAAACTGCCACTTGTTAATTGGGTTTGGGGCTTCAGAATGTTTAAGGAGCGTGGGGATTGGGGGAGTTTAGGTCCCTTTGGGGGGTTCGGGGGCTAGGGACCCAACCATAGATGAAGTAATGACGACATTGAAGATTGCAAGGTCAATTCGGGTTGCACTAGCGGCCCAGCACTACATCTTGCTATGCTGGGTCACATGCAGATATCCATGAGATCATTGTGGGCTTGTACCTTACAGTGCTCCAATGCACTCCAACAACCGTAAACCCCAAAACCCCAAAACCCTAAACCATGTGCTGGCGAGAGAGACGCAAGCACCGACTTAGCTGCCTAGACCCTCCACTCATCCTCTCTTAGGGCCTAAGTTGTTTGTTTCTATCTCTCTCTCCCTCTCACACCCTCTCCGCGTAACTAAGGGTACTAGGAGGGTCTTGGTGCATGCTGCATGCTTGTGCGATGAGTTGCGGCGCTGTTCGAGATCGCGTGTCGGCATGTCTCGTTTACCAGAAGATTCTATGATATACTCGAATATACCATAATATACTACAATATGACATAGTATACTATAATGTACTATAATATTCTATAATATGCCATCGTGCGGCTTTTGGACCCTGAGCCTCCTCTCCCTTTGACAATGCCAACGGTCACATGGATTGCGTGGTCAAGGTCACGATTCCCGCGCAACTTGTCGCTTTCAACGCATCGGCTCTTTCTAAGGCTCCCCATGTGGCGGGTCAATTTCGTGAACCCCTGTGCTTTTGCACTTAGGGACCGTCTGCCGAAGGCCTCACTCCTGTCCCTGTACAAGTGCACAGCTAGCCCCTACCGGGTGGCCCCTTACCAGTTCCATGTGCCACCTTATCCTTTTTACCCCTAGTCTGCGCATGTCTGCGCAAAGCAGATCTTTTCAAAATTGCGTTCAGTTTTCCAACCAGCTACACACATCACTGTTGTTGCTCTGAACCACTAGTGCGGCTTATTTGCCAACACATACATCTCCGTAATCGGTAAGGAACATGGCCGTCTCCAAATAAATTCAGAGCCTCAAAGTAGGCCCATGAACCCTAAACCCTAAACCCCGCCACTTGGGGTAAGGTCGGATGAAATCGTTACCGTTTGCCTACCCCTTTTTGCATCTGGACTCCCGCATCCTACACCCCACACCCTAATCCCTCTCGGGTTTAGGGTTTGGGTTTAGGGTTCAGGGTCCCTGAATGTCGGGTGTCCATCAATCCGCTTGCATCGCGTCTCTGCCCGTTGACCGACACTAGGAAGTCTCCGGGCGACACCTGCTGAAACAATGCTCTGCGGGCTATATAATATAGGGCTTATGTAGAAACCGTGCTCGGGGTCTAGGGTGTATGGCCTTTGGATTCAGGTTTACCATGTGGAGTTTAGGGATTAGCGTTTAGGGTTTATACGGGGTTTGCCAAAATGAGGGGTACCTTTTGGGGGGTCCCCATAGTTAATAAGGATCATAATCTTTTGGGGTCTCTATTGACCTCCGCTATTTTGGGGAACTATCATATAAGCATTACATAGAGACATAACGAACGGCAGAGGGTTATACAGGGAAATGGACTTATATAGAGCTATAGGGGGAATGGAAAAGAAAATGGAACTACTACGGCGCGGGGTAACGGCGGTTCGGATAACCGTGAATATACTAAACCTAACTCCTGAACCCATTATAGTTCTCGTTACATCATCTTAGATCTAAGTCCACTTCTAACGATCCACACGGTCCTCCAATGTCCTCCAAATTCCGCAAGATAGGGAGATGAAAGCCCTAAACCATAAACCTATTTGGGGAATGAATGCATTGGATGGTCCTTTCTCCGTGGTGGCAGCACACAAGGACGGTCGCATCTTGACAGGGCTTGTGCCCTAAAGGTCGCCAAAACTGTTCCTATCCCTAAACCCTAAACAAAAGCTTCCACTTTCTTCTCCACTCCACCTGCAACTCTATAGATCCCTATTCCCCTAAATAGGTTCCTTTAACTTTTTTTACAATGATAAAGGAAATCCCAAATTATCCTAAGTCGCCACCTCATTCAGACATGCTGGGAGACGACTACTTCTTCGTTCAGGGACTTGGGTTGAGGATTGGGGGGGGACTAGGGTTTAGGGACTAGGGACTAGGGTTTAGGGTTTAGGGACTAGGGTTTAGGGTTTAGGGTAACCCTAAGCCCCTACACCCTAAAGTAGGCGTCTTGCAGGATGCCACCGGGGCATGTGTTGATGTACATGCCACACCAATCCACACCAAACCCTCTGTCGAGCCACAAAACTTCCGCAGGCATAACGCCTAACGCTCAACCTGAAGCCTTCCCTAACCCTAAACCCCAAATCCTTTTTCCGCTAGATTCCCCATTATTTCTGTATACCCTCTAAAAAGCCCTACAACCCTATCTCCCTGAAGCCCTAGACCCCTAAACCCGAAACGTTCCCTATCTATCTATCTATCTATCTATATATGTATATATATATATATGTATGTACATGGGTGGTTGTCAAAATTATGGTCCCTTTTTGGATCCCTAGTATGATACGGCACCTAATATTTAGGGTACCCAAAAAAGGACCATAATTTTGACAACCACCCACATTTTTATCTTATACCACATTGAAGACCCTACCTCTGTGGAGGGGTTCATGTCGTTCCAGAGTTGGACCAGTCCGGGCTTGACCCCCAGGACACACAGACGACCATCAGGAGCTGTGTCCACTTGGAGACCCAGCACGTCACCCTGGGATGGGCAAATTACACAAATTACACGGTTATTAGGGTATATTAGGGTATACTAGGGTATGTTATGGGGTTTAGGATTAAGGTCGTTCTGGGTACATTCTTAGTAGAAAGAGTGAGTACCGTAATGTGGACCCCTGATTAATAAACACCCTCCCCTTAAGAGGGATTATGATGGGGATCCTAAAATTAGGGCCCTTAAAGGAAGGGGTTAATTAATCATGGATCTACATTTCAACCCTAAACCCTAAATAGTAGTTTCCGTTTTCTTTTCCATTATGCCTATATAACCCCCTATATAAACCTAAACCCGAACCCCTAAACCCTTTAAGGTTATTAACCATGGGTCTACATTAATAGGGTTGAGCTTGTTTGAGCTCGTCAGCATTGGCCCGGCCTGAGTTCGGTCGACCTGGATCACGTACCTGGGAATCAGTTGTACTATAGTCTAAACTCCTTCAGGGGCGTTGTCTAGGGGAGATTATATACAAGGGACTACTACTGGGGTTATGCAGCGGGATACTAGGAGTTTAGACTATGGCTCAGAAGAACATTTTCGGTTTTCTTGTTCACTGCGTTCGTTAGAGGCAACCCTAAGCCCGAACTAAACAGAGTAACATCCCAATCCCGAAGCCACGCAGCATCATAAGCACTAAACGATATAGTACCTTCCATTTAATTTTCCAGTATAGTAATAATAACAATAGCACATCTCGGACATGATCTGTGAACAACTCCATGGCACAAGTGCGAGGCTGAGCAAACTGTAAGGCTTCTGGCTGTGCCCGGGATCACTACTGTGCCTCAAGGAGAGCGCTGAGGACGCCGCTCTAAACAGTCTGCAGATGCCTTCGAATTTGCTGTGGACGGCAGCGCATGTGACGTCCACGATCGTCGCAATCTGCCCAAGACACAATCCTTGAAGGGCTGCATGCTTCGTGGAATTGTCATGGGTAGCAGCAAGCTGCCACGTAATCTTGGCAAACAATATTGCACCAAAATGGGTTCCTCACACAAGCGTTAAAAGTGCTCGTCTGAATGGGCAGCGACAGAACCTGTCTCATCATCATCCTGGCTGAACAATAGCTGAAAAACTTTGTCACAAGGCCAAGGACAAGCAACTTGACACTATTTACCCTGGGCCCCTCAGACCAAAGAAAAATCCTGTAGAAGAAGCACAACTTGTTGCTGTGCTCACAGCACCCCCAATATGCTGGGAGAACAATGGTCAGTCTATGGCGGCTGAATATAGTTTTGAGCAACCTCTGTGGTGAGCCCTTGCATGCTGCCAAGCCTCTGAACAAACTGCATAGCACAGTTTGCCGGTTGCGCGTCCGCCGAATTGCAAGACCTGCCCAAGAGGGACTCCATGCCAGGAGCGGAGACTTCATCTGTGATGATACTCTCGGACGTTCGGTTGCAAAAACAAGGGAATTTATACATATATATATATATATGGGGGACGCACAGTATCCCTATTACTGTTATTGTAATTACTATATACTATTATTGTTGCTATTGTTATTCTCGATATTACTATAGCCTAGTATTGCGGTTCGGCCTTGGAAAGCACGAATACCCAAGACAGGACCGTAAAGCAAACACTGACATGATCGTACAGTAACTGCGAGAAACCATGATCACGGTACAGCACTGCAATGCCAGTGCCTCTCAGGAAGAATGGCCCTGCCTTGCCCGTTAAAGCACACGTCCCCAAGCACAGGGCACCCAAACCCATGCCGCAGGACATGAGCCAACCTGCACATGAGACATCTTGATATGTCGAGATATGCAGTCCCCTCTTCACTGTCGTAGATCAAGATAAGCAGTCCCCTCTGTTTCCTTCTGAGTCTAGGAGATGGCCGGCATGTAGGCTGTTGTAGCGGCTGCAAGGGTGTGTGAATGGCTGACTTTAGATTCATCAATGCAAGCAAGTTGTCTCGCAGTAGACAGCACTCCCACAACGCAAGCAACAAACGTGTGGTCAAGTGAGTCGAACCTCAAATTCTCAACCCTAAACCTTCAGACCTCGCTTTTTCTTGGAGGCCGCCGAAGCAAGGACAGAAATTGGTGCGGATGTTGAAGAAGTGCCAGATATTGCAGACACCGGCGATGCGGCCTACAGCATGTGAGCACGGCCATGTCCCACACATTGCCGCCATGCAATGCCACAAAACTGCACCTCTAACCTTTCACTTTATGGTTTTTGTACTGCTAATGATTACCATGTTCATTACTATCCTTGCTATATCTGTCATTACTACCATGTCCATGTGCAAGCATTCTGCGAACTAAAAATAATTCCTAAGGAGACTACAGTAAGAGCCTGTCTGTCTGCTAAGGCTTGTTGCACTTCAGGCGGAAGGGAAGATAGCCTGGGCCCCAGGGCTTGCTTACCTAGAGCTTGGGTTTAGGGTTCAGGGTCTGGGATATGTAGGAGGTTTCCTAAAATTTGGAGGTGTACTTTCGGGGTCTCTCTCATAATTTTGTTAGTATTTTGGGATCTATATTGGGGTACCATGTAAGGTTTTGCCACTAGCATGAGTGATATGTAGGGGTTAGGCTTTTTGAGTTTTAGGGTTAGGGCATCTTGACGTGTGACGGCTAGAGGTGTCGCACAAGAACGGCGCCGCACCTGGCATTCGACATCATTCGTGACGGCACATCCCGACTAGATCCCCACAACTAGGATGAGTGTGTGCTTTCCTCCCTGCCCTTGCCCTTCTTCGTTGAGGTATCTCTCTATCCTTGGTTTAGCCCTAGGGATCCAAGTATACAAATAATAGCTTAATAGCTACATTGGGCCCCAAAGTCTGTAAATATTACCTACATTGGGCTATTTGGAAACCCTAAACCCTAAACCCGCTATTTGGATTTTCTAGGGTAGGCTCTTGGGAAGCCTCCGGAGGCCTTCGGGCTTCGGAGGTGGCCGAGCGATTGCTCAAGGAGAGTCTGAGGACCCAGACAGGGTTTAGGGTTTACCCAGAGGGTCCATGTACCAAATAATTAGGTACTTGGGTTTTGGGTAATAGTAATTCTAGTATAGGTTTTGGGTAAGTATATGATTACTAGGTACTTGGACCGTTAGGGTTAGGGTTGACCCTAGAACCTACAAGATGCATGTTTTGATTTCTGAGCCTTGCCAGTTGTATTGGAGAGATAGGGATAATGGCAAAGATAATGCAGACTATTATGACGGGGTTGCATAGGGTTTAGGGTTTAGGGATTAATTAGGGTTTAGGGTTTAGACCCTCTTCAGGCCTATGTACCCACTATTGAGGACCCAACTACCCCATTTAAGGGTACTGGGAAGCTCTCGGTACATACTCCTATCCTTGGAGGGTCAGGGGGACTTACGCAGTAGGTTTATAAGGGGGGTAACAAGCCTTTCCATATGCGCAATATAAATATACTTACTACGTCCCCCTGACCCTCCAAGTAGCAAACCCGGAAACCTTCAGACTCCCCCTTATGTCTTACAGTCCTCAAAGGCCACCCATTTTGAGGAATCCCACTAATCTCCTCCACTCCACTAAGAAGGAAGATTACCCTCAATATGGGGCGGTAATCTGTTGATGTAATTACTATTGTTAAGGTCATGAGTACGGGGAGCGGAACAATCAGTTGTCAAAACCCACTGAGGCCCCAGGCAGCTCGGCAGGCACAGCACCGAAACCTTCAGAGGCCCCCTCGCGGCGGAAAAGGGTAGTACTCCTTGCCATCAAGCACTGGACAAGTGAGTCACTCAAATTTGCGGGTTTGGGGGAGGTCCCTTGCAGATGAGGATGTGAGGGGGCTCCCCAAAAAAGCCGTAATTTCTGATGGTCAGTTGTTTGAAATGCTGAGACCCGCAGCCTTATGGTGTCAATGCGCAGGAAGATAGATGCCGGCAGCTGCAACTTCTCCAACTCTGCGAAACTTCCCGGCTCAAATGCCTCAGAATGTGCAGACGCTGCTCAACACCTAGCCGCGCTCCCCAAGACTACATACCAAATATTGAACACACGGTCTCCATTAATATGGGAGTTTCCCAAATTGGGGGGGGGGGTACCTTTTTGGGCGTCCCCATACTAAGGACTATAATATTTTGGGCTCTAGATTGGGGTCCCCTATTCAGGGCATAACATAAGCCCTACGACCTACACACTAAGACATGTGGGCTGCGGTAGGGCATGTATGAGTATCAGGGAATGCCTGGTGGGTAAAGTCAGGAGCAGGGATTGGGTAGGTAGGTCGCTTTAGGGATTTAGGGCTCAGGGTTTAGGGTTACCTGACATTCTGAGGCACTCAAGAAAACAGCGACGAGTAGGCTGATGCCGATGATGACGGCAACACAGAAAAATTGTTGCAGTACATACGCGTTTTACTGCTTGTCAGTAGGGCATGGCGTAATCGATCCCCATAGCAGCTCCCGTCGACCTCCACTGTAAGGTATTCCATTTCCTTGTCCATTCCTTCAACTACTACTACAACAACCAGCAAGTTAACCCCAAATCCTAAACCAGCTACATCCCCATAAGCCCCAGTCTCGTAACCCCTATACAGTAGGTCATTCCCCCTTACAGTGATAGATACCACAAGAAATACTAGGAGATAATAAACCCTTAAATAAAGGCCCTTTAAGGACAGCTACTGTAAGGGGGAATGACCCAACCTATAGAAGAGTATGGGTTGGAAGGACCCCCACCCTGTAATAGTGGTATAATAGGAATATAAGAGGACCCCATTATAATCCTTATTACCCATAATAGTCACTAGTACTGGGTGGGGGATCCACGTAAACCCTAAACCCTAAAACCCTAAACCCTAAACCCTAAAACCTAAACCCTAAACCCAAACCGTGGGGCACCTCATGCTCTTCTTTGGCATCTGCCGGCCCGAGGCCTACGATCCGACTGCCATTCGGAAGGGCTTTGATGGTTCCAGGTAAGGCTATCTGCCGCGTCAGCGTCATTTCCTGCAAGGATGTCGCGAAGGTGTATCTCAAAATCATTGTCATATTGTATTAAACAGTTTGGGGGAGGCGCTTGTGCTCAGGATCTGATTTTTTTGTTTGGGAGGTTGGAAAAGGGACCCCCCCTTTGTTCCAAGATCCTAAACCCTCAAGCTTACTGCCAGAATCTGCAGAAATCAGCCAAGTCCTGGGGATCCAGGGCTTCACAGAGACTGGCAAGCTCCTGTGACTTGTGCACCTCCACTCTGCGTGTGCCAAACCTTGGCCAGGGTTTAGGGTTTAGGGCTCAGGGTTTAGGCTGCAGGTTTGTGTTTGGGCTTCAGGGTTTAGGGTTCAGGGTTTAGGTTTTAGGATAAATTACTTGGAGGCTCAAAAGGACTTAAGCACTATCAGCCACTTGTTAACCATAGATATCTCCATTCTCCACCTGCTTACTAAGTCCTCCTGGGCCTCCAAGTAGCAACAGTTGTGCTAGCAGTACTGAGTTCTGAAAGGAATTGCAGTTGAACAGTGAATGGAAATCACAAATCCTGATCCCCCGGACCCCGGACACGAAGGGAGTACATGAAGAAAACCAGTACCTCAAACAGGGAAGACACACACCTGCAGGTTTCGGATGTAGGCGACAGTCCATGTCCCTGAACCCCACTAAAAAAAAACAAGGCCTCAACCACAAAACATAAATGAGCATATATCTGCTATGGCACTTTCCGAAAAAATATCGCCGTTTATTGATGGGTTTAAAATCAGCAAGCGGTAAAAAACACTTTTCAAGACATCCCAAAACCCTGAACCCTAAATCCTAAACCCTCTCAGCCGCAGGCTGTCTTTGAGCACTACTAAGCGCCGTGGTCAGTGCCAGGCGCCCGTCTGCCTTGATCTTGAAGGTCTCGTCAAGCTGGAAACCTGTGCTTTAGGATTGAAGGCTGCAGGGTTTGGGGTTTAGGGCTTAAAGTTTAGGGTTTAGGATTTAGGTCCTGGAGGGTCAAGGAGACGTCCTAAGTAGGGGATACCAGATGGATTCTAAGGGTTATATGTCTTATATGTATACTTACTAAGTCCCCTGACCCTCCAAGTAGAGAGGGTTTGATAGGGTCTAGGGCCTAGAGCAGGGGGAACCTTGTAGGATGAGACAAGGATTAGTGTTAAGGGTTTCGCGCTTTGGGCCTATTGCTCAGGAATACCGCTGCTACCCAAAACCAAAGCCTGAAAGGAACCTAGGGCTATATTACATGAGGATTATCAGGTCGCTATCTCCCTCGCTTGAGGATTATATCGGCATGTTTCTGACCCCAAGCCCTGAAACTTCACACCTCAGCCCCAAATCATCATCCTGATTCTAAGCCCTGACCGCGTTATCCCACCTTCGGCTGCGAAGGTTTTGACCAACTGCAACA